AAAAAAAAAAAAAAAAAAAAAAAAATTCCATGAAGTTCATATATGTTACCTAGAAAACTTCAAGGAAAAGAACTTGAAGACTAAGTATTTCATTAAGTTCAAGTGTTATAAGCACTCCAAAAATTTATCACCAGGCATTGAAGGGTTGTGACATTTTAAAGTTTATACTATTGCTTATTGATAATGTATATATTTTAATCATAGCAATTTTCAAACAGGTACTAATATGGGGAGAATAATATGAGCACTGAGTCTATCAGTGCACTTTAAGAAATTTCAATAGGATTCCAAAGTATTTTTCTCCATTCCTATTTTCTTTTGAGGGGGAGGGAAGTGTACATTAGAATCAAATCCAGAATAATTTTATCTATAAATTGTGCTGCCAACAAGACTTTTGGTTGTTTTAATATAACCAGGAAGCAATTATCTTGTCTAGCAAGATTTCTTAATATCTTCTAATAGTGTTCAGATTTTCCAAACTGTTACAACAATGTCAAGTCTGTAATCACTAACAGTTCCCACTCTTGCTTTTTCCCCAGTTGTGTAGAATTCCACACATACGGATTTGGATGCCTGTCTCCTCCCCGCTTTAATTCTGCATCAAGCAGAGAGATGAGACTAAGGTGCCATTCTGCTTTCTGCTGGCCAGAGCAGCTCCCAGGAGGCTCTGTGTGCGGCTCCCGCAGCACCGCACTGCAGAAGATGCACAACTTCTGGCTGTCCGAACTGCACTCAGAGTCGACATTGAGCTCATGTGTTAAACATCACTAGCACGTCTGCAGGCCACTCCCACCCAAGTCTCACCACTTACAGTGACTGCGGTCTAGATCCATGATTGCATGGGAGATACAAAATGTGGTTTTCTGATCCTGTTTTCACTTACCTATTTTTCTCTTCCACCCAGAATTTGCCTTGTTTATCTATTTGGAAGCTCACAAATAAATGGCAATTAAATGTTTAATTCTTTTACTTTTTGCTTACAGGAGTTTGTATTCTAGCAACCCTCAAAAGGTAAGTGGTTTCTCAATGTAAAGTATCATCTTAAACATGTTTTTGAAAATAATATATTTTGTATGTTTCTAGCACTCAGACTGCCTCATCTTCAGCCAGGGATTGTCCTTTTAGGGTGGCTTCTCCTGTTGTCCTGACCATACCAGTCATGAAGAGCGTCTGTACTTTGGCTTGTTAGATCTCCTGGGTTTATCTCAAGTACATTTCCAGGCCTAAATGGGAATTACCTACTCCTCTAAGAGCCTTACTTTTTCTGGTAAATAACTGTACTTAGAGAGCAGATCTGGCTTATTACCCTGGACTGCCATAGACTACGTAGGTAATTTCTAAACTATGTCTTCTCAGTTTATATCTATGATTACTGAATGTTTACTGCACAGTTGCCTCTTCTTTTAGATACTAGTTGCTTAATGAATGGTATTACTTCACAATACACACACCTCACCCTGCAATGTTTAATAGTCTCTGAACAGCAATAACCAGCATTCACAACAGCAACCAAAAACTTACCGACTTCTTTTAAGATATATCCCATTAGGGATGTCTACTCAAAGTGCTGTTGTAAGCTCCCTTGAGCAATTTTCCATAAAGTTACATCACCACTATATCAGTGTATGTGTGCATTTTACATTGTTTCTGACTATTTTAGGAGAGGTTGTCCTGCTTCTTTTTAACACTGATTCCAATACAAATATAGCCCAGGACACACTGAGAAATCCAGCTTCCATTCCTGTCCTTTCGGTCCTGTTCCCCGTCTTTATTAGCTTTTGGTTTATCCTGCCATGGATTCTTTTTAAAAATACAGAAAGTAAATTTACATATTGTTTCTTGCACAAAATGTGATCTGCATGTGTGTTTGCTTCACTTGAAGTCAGCAGGAGACGGTCACTTAATGGTGGAGAGGCTGGCCTCGTGGTCGCGACCCAACCCGCGCAGCTGCCTCTCCTCAGCAGGCAGCTCCGTTGCCCCACATTCCTCCAGTGCTGGGATAGGAATCCCGAGGAGCCTCCTCCCAGCCCGTCCTCATTCTGGAGGCAGAGTGCGCAGCCCTCCAGTGGGAAGCAGCTCGCCACACTGAGCTCTGGACGCTTACCCGGACATCAGCGTCTCCCGCGCTGTCAAGATTCTGGCACTGGAGGTTGTAGCCACCTCCCCAGCTGGACAGAATGAGCTGCCAGAGAATCAAGAGCGAGGGAAATCAGCAGAACTGGGACGCAAACTGAATTCCCCGCCGCGCCTCTTGCATCAAGCCGAGGTCTGAGTAGAGGCATCACAGAAGTGGAGTTTGACTGTTACCTCAAACACATAAGGGGTTTAAGTTTTGGTGCTAAATTGATTTTTTGTTTTGTTTTGTTTTTAGGGAAGGGTCTACAGGGTGTTCAGGGTCTCACTACTAGATTGGACTCGTAGCACTTCTCCTGTTTACAGCCTCCCAAGAGCTGGGATTACAGGCGCACACCACCACACCCAGTCTTAATTGTCATCTCAGCATGCCTCTGGGGTGGGGCTGGCATGGCAGGCCAGGGGATTAAACCCCTAACCCTTGCACTTGCTTGCAAGCACTTTAATCTGCTGAGCTATCTGGCCGGCCAAAAAGCTGAAATTAACAGTTACAATCCTTTGTAGATTTTATTTCTTATCATTTACATCCATCCAAAGTAAGAAGATCTATCATTTGAATAACAAAATTTGTCTATTCACTCATCCCTTTCTAGTAAGAAAATGTAGAATTAAATGAATATAAATAAATATGAGGAGGTTGGCATGGTGGTACACACCAGCACTCTGGAGGCTGAGGCAGAGAGGATTGCTAAGAATTCAAGGCCAGCCTGGTCTGCACAGTGAGTTGAAGACCAGTCTGGACTACAAAAAAACCTTGAGAAAATTAGCCTTTGTATTTATTGGAATTTTAAAAACCAACCTCAGGGCCAGGGAGATAGCTCAGTAGAAGAAGCGCTTGTCTGGCAAGCACAGGGTCCTGAGTTCAATCCCAGGTACCACCACCAAAAAAAAAGAAAAGAAAAAAGCTCAAAAGTTCATTGTGCTTATGCTAATTAATCAAACAATTTGTGTGATTAGCTGATTAACGTTTTTTCCTCCATTACTCCTGAAAAACAATAAAAGCTCCATAAAAATCTATGCTTTTTTGAGTTCATCTTTTTCGTCTAAAGTTTTTTGTCTAATGCCTGGAACACAGTGCTCAGTAAATATTTACTGACTAAATGATTTGCTTGGTATAACCCAGCTTAGTCAGACATGGTGGTGCATGCCTGTAACCCCAGCATTCTGGGAGGTGCAGGCTGGAGGTATAAAGTTCTAGCCCAACCTGGGCAGTTTAGTGACTTAGACCCTGTCTCACAAAATAAAAAGGGGTACAGGATGTAGCGCAGAGTGAAGGCCCTAGGTTCAATCCCTAGTACCTCAAAAGAAAAAAAAAATTACACAGCTACTAAGTATAGAAGGATGATTTGGATCTAGGCTTTCCACATCATGAGAAAATGCTTATCCTTTGCTGAAAATTGCACAAAAGAAGTTCTCTTCTGTAAAAATGTAGAATTCCAGAATATAAGGTACTTACTTAAGGTGTGACAGGCAAAATACCTAGTATTCTTTGTTGCCTTACAGATGTATATATATATTTAGCTCTATTAAAACATACATTGAACATTCAAAAGATGAACTGCTAAGTAGCGTTTAGACTGTTCTAGACTTATGAGGTTTCACTGTTCTGATGTATGTCTCTTTTCTTCTAACAAAACACCTGTTAGCTAACTCAATTATAATGAAAGATTACCATGGCAGATGAATCCAGTGAAAGAGGAAAAAGCTGGATTTGTCTGCTGGGCTCTGCCGCTAAGTGGGTCACTCCCAGGTCCCCTCTGGGGGCTTTATTCTCCTGCTCCTGACTGGGAACCAGCAAGGGCTAAAAGGATTCATGAGCACTTCTTAAAGGACATCTACATTTTTTTTGTTGTTGTTGTTGGTTCATTTTTCAAACTAAGAGGCAGGTTAACGTTATACACAAAGATTAATTTAAAAAGTCTGTAATCAGGTCTACAGTAAGCAGTTCTCGTCTGCTTCCATGTAACACCGTACAGTGTCAGGCGCATCAGTGAGCACCCAGGTAATAGGATTCTGGAGTTGTTAGCACGCATTTCCTGACCCCAAATTGTGTCTCCCGCACGCTAACTCGTGACAGATTCCCTCAGAGTGTCATCCCAGCATTTAGATAATGGCATTGCCATTAGGAAAATATTTTTTTAATTCAAGGATAGTAAGGACCATATCAGTAGCAGCCATTGATGACCTGTGTGAATGATTTTCTACTAACTTAAAGACTTTGTTTTATTCCTTTGCCTGTGTCTTTTATTTGTGCCGCAGCCCATAATTTCTGCCCTGGCACTATACAGTTGCATAAGCGTGACTGGCCAGGCAGGGCAGGCAGTACTTGCTCTTACAGCCCAGCGGCTTTCGGAAGGCGGCTGGTGTGCTGTTTAAGGCAACATTCACATTTGCACCCCTGCTGGGTTAAGTGAGTTTGACTTTTGAGTTTAAATACCCCGCATCACTATATATTCTCAGGAAAATTACCTAATTTTTCTAAGCCTCAGTGCTATTTGTAAAAAGGAGAAAAATTATAGCACATGATCTTTAAAAGCCTATTTAAATCTAAATTGTGATTTAAAAAAAAGACCTATATTGGGGTAAGGGAAATTCAAGTTAGAAACAAGGACTTACAGGACTCTGTGAAGGAATAATACCAGAGCCCGGAATAATGGGTTGCTGAAGTCGTACAGACGAGTACTGACAGTAACTCTGGAGAGTTCTTTTAGGCCAGATGGGATCACGTCTGCAGTAGCTCAATTTCTGACTCCATGGCCCCCCACCACTTACCTCCACCAGCATATATGCAGAGAGCAGTGTGATTCCGAGGTTATACAACGTGAGGGTTCCCCTGAGAGAAAGAGCAGGTCTGTTCTTCATATATTTATTACCCAGCCATATTGAAAGCAGATATATGACAGTGAGAAAAAAGGTAGGAAGGTAGGAGTCCAGCATGAACCACCCTCTGACTCGAGCATCTGAAAAGAAGCACATATGGAGAATCCTGAAGAGCCACACTCCGCTCAGCCAGCAATACTGACACCTGTATTCTGTTTGTGGGGCCACCTGCCTCATCCTCAGGGAATGTGTTCCAAGGCCCCCAGTGAATGCCACATTCAATGTCCCTTCCCCATACAAATTTAGTGCCCTTTTCATCTTAACTAAATACTTAACCATGCACTGTGGTTGTAACTTTTGCAGTCTGAGCTGTACCAGCAAGACAAACATGGATTTCTTTGTCCTTCACAATTCTTACTATAGATCTTAGCAACTGCAGCCCTGGACTTTTTCCTTGCTGAGAACTTTTACTTTTTCATTTAAAGGAAGCATATTAGGTGTTTTTCATTTTGCCATATCCAAATTGCTAGTATTGCTACTCTTGCACACTGGAGTCATTGTTAAGTAAAATAGGGTCACTTTACTGTGAGGAGCTGTGGATTCTGTGGTCCACCTCACACCGAGAAGGCTAAGGGACTACCGTGCAGCAGTAGAGACTGCATGGGTACCCTGGGTGCTGCAGGATGAGACAGTGAGACCTCATCCTGCTACTTAGAGCAGTACGTAACTCAAAGTATGAACTGCTCTTTCTAGAGTTTTCCATTTCATATTTTCAGAATGCAGTTGACCTCTGTTAAGTGAAACTACAGAAAATGAAACTGCAGATAAGGTGTACCTAACAAACACAACAGGGTAATGTTGAATGATACAGCATTAATCCGGCTTTGGGTTGGAATTCAGAGGAAGCAAGTCGGGGCTGAATAGTTGAGGAAGGTTTCATGGAGCAGGCAGCGCTTACACTCTTGAGCACTGAATGACCAAAGTAATAAAAGGGGGAACGTGAGCTACCAAGTACTCACATTGGAAGAGTTCTTGCACTTTAGTTTAACTCAAAATGAATTGAGGACTACTGCCATTTTATGGATAAAAGAATCTGCAGTTTCATTTTCTATAGTTTCACTTACCAGAGGTCAACTGCATTCTGAAAATATGAAATGGATAACTTTAGTAACTAGCAGAAAGTCACAAAATGGTTGGTAGTAGAGTCTGGATTTAAATTCACCTCTGCCCCGAGACCATGATTCATTGCTGGTTCCATGGGTAAGACTTGGGTACGTAGAGGATGTGATACTGACATTGTATCCTAGTTTCTAAAACCCACATGGGCCAGAATATGCCTAGGAGCATCACACAGTCAACTAGGAGTGGATCTATGAATCCAATCAGAGCAATGAACACTTATGGTACAGGAAGCCTGAGAAGCTAAGGCCAGCAGAGATAACATCCTGGAACTGAGATTCAGAGCAGAAGATGTGTGTGCATCTGCGGTCCAACACCTGGCATGGAACTAATATGAACAGGGAGGCAGGAACCTGGATACACAAAGAGCCTCTCACTCTAGAGCATGAAATAAAAGACTAGAGCCACATTATACACCCATAATCTAACTGGCAACACCTGAAAATAACTCTAGGCCCAAATGACCTTTCTGGTGTTTTTATTTAACGAAAATAATATAGCTCAAAATTAAGTTATGTGCTGTTTTTAATTTCAGCATCAGGCAATGCCTCTATTTTGAGGTGCTGGGGACAGATCCAAGGCCTCAAGCATGCTAGGCAACAGCTCTGCTACTGAGCTACCCCTCAGCCTGGCATCTCCGCTTTGCTATCTGGTTTTCCTGCCTCAGTCCCACACTGGTACACCCCACACTGTCTTAGCCCAGCCTTTCCACAACCCACCCACTCTAGAGATAATTCTGTTTTTATGAGGATAGTGCCTTCTGGAGCTCTATCCCATTATTTGTTCTGGAAACTTCTACCGGTGGTAGAGCAGAGTGACCAGAGTGACCATCTAAGGAACACGCTCAGGAACACCAAAGCTGCTGGCCACGACCAAAACCAGGAGACAGGCTCGAAACAGACTCTTCTACAACCTCACAAAGGGCAGGCCCTGCCAACATCCTGCTGGCCCCAGAACTGTGAGAATAAGTTTTGCTACTGCAAGCCACCCAGTTTGTGGCATTTTGTTATGGTAGCTCTAGGAAATGAACAATGTGGTTTAATACTTAGCTGCTTTCCAATTATTTCAAATATTCTAATTTTACCTCCCCAACTACAGCACATCCTTCATCAAACAGTGACGAGGTCTCATCTCTCTCCTCTGTCTCATGTTCACTTAGCGTTGAGTTAAAGAGGAAGCAGTCATTAAAGACATGTCAGCTGGTGCACCAAGTCAGCACAGACCGCAGCGAATGCGGCACCCGAAATTCTGCTTTGTTGTCACGTTCCTGTCCATGTTTGCTAGTTACAGGTTAACTATGGTTAAGTGCTCCAGACAAGGGGTGAGAACAAGTACTTTCCGTGACGTTTCTTAGCTCTCCATCTGCATTAGGCATATCCCTGAAGTACTGATACACTGTGCACAAGACCGCGCAAGACTAGAGAACGTCTAGAAGTTCACTCGAGGTCCTGCGAGTCAGCTTCAGCCTGGTCTCTTAGGGAGGGAAGAGGATTCGGATGGCTTAGGTGCTAGACACCCTGTCACCATGGAGGGCACATCTGAACCAGCTGTCAGCTGTCTCCTGGTACAGAGGAAAATGTCCACAAAACCATGAAAGCTGAGTAAACAAGCGCACTGCTCTCCCAGCGATGGCCCGTCTGCACCACTCAGGTCACACTGATCTCACTGACGCGGCGGCGGGTCAGGCTGACCTTGGCTCCCGGCAGTTGCTGTTTGCTCTGCGGTGGGAGTCTAACCAGAGCGCCGCAGCCACCATCGGAGCTCCTGTGGCCTGGCGTGAGTGAGCGAGAGAGCGGTGGCGCTGTGCTGAGCAGCGCCCCGTCCACCCCAGCCCTGCGGAGCTCTGCGGCGCGGGGACTCTGCCCTGCCTACCCCCCGGATCCAGAGGAAAAAATAAACTTGACAGTACTTTTAAAAAATCTGTACAGAATATCATGTTACAGCTATATAAATAGTCATTCACTTGGAATAGTTTATAGAGCCTTCAAGAAACTGGGGAATGGCCAATAATCTCTAAAGGATTGAAGATTCTGGCAAACAGAGGACCCTCATTTTCTTCCTCTACTCTCTCCCCCAAACAGCACTGTAGAAATAACTTGTAAAGAACCCCTAGTTTTCCACAGGTTCGTGAACCAGTGAGGCTTAAGTGAATATAAACATTTTGTCCGTAACTCATTTGCAAACCATAGCACTACGGTGGTCCCAGAGCTGCGGCCAGCTCTGGAGTGTTTGGTATGGGCCTCCTGGCTCCTGCCCACCTGGGCCCACAACAAGGCGTGTGAAGGAAAGCAACAGGCGGAGGTATGAGAGGGCCTGTTTTGAGGGGACGGCTGTCTGAGAAAGTAACATCTGATCCCTGAGGTAGGAGGGAAGGCGCTGGCGAGAGTGACACCTGGGAGGTAGAGGGGGACGTCCAGGCTCTCCGAATGGCACATAAAGGAACCGCATGGGTTTGAGGAATTAAAGGCTGTCTCAAGTGGCTGTGACTAAGGGAAGCAGACTGGTATGAGGTGGAAGAGGTGGCCGGGGTGAGACAACTCAAAGGCCATGTCACGGAGTTTTCCTTTCACCTCACAGCAGTGGAAACACTGTGAGTTGGAAGGGAGATTACCAGAGTGTGATTTAGTTCTTCAGAATATTCTGGCTGACAATAAACGGCTGGAGGCTGACAATAAAAAGGCTGCTGTAGCCCAAGTAAGAGGTAATGGAGGGAGTGCTGAAGACTGCTGTGATCATCCGATGGGCCAAAGCACAGCGAGAATACAGTGAAAGGAACTGGCAGTGGCATGGAAGGCAGGACTTCTTGGGTGACTGCACATGCATGGAAGGAGGAGGGGGCAGCAGAGAAAGAAGAGGAACACAGCCTCGCTTAGAAGAAAGCCACACCTTTGGCTCTGCAGCCAGAGGGACACTGGAAGAAAGTCACATACTTCATGCACTCCTGCCTCCTGCTACTCTTTCATCCCAGGACAGATTGAGCAGGAGCAGAACGGGCCCGCAGGATGTTCTGGGAGACATGTAAAAAGGAAGCTGAAGTTTCTAAATGTCACATTCCCAGGACATCAGAAATCAGTCCTTTTATCCTTTTTATGCCACTCTTTCTAAGCTCTTTCCACATGATGTTCTCAAGTTGCTCACTCACCTCGAGGTCCAAACATATTGTCCAAAAAGGCGTTGACTTCATCATCGAAGGCCTTCAGATGCTCCTGAAGAGAGAGAGAAAAAATTAAGTGATTTAAAAATAATTCTTAGGGCTGGGGAGATAGCTCAGTGGCATAAGCACCTGCCTGGCAAGCATGAGATCCTGAGTTTAATCCTTGGTACCAAAAAAAAAAAAAAAAAAATGAAAGAAAAAAATCAAATACAAGCAATAAGGAATGAAAAGGGTATAATTACCACAGACCCAGTGGAAAGGATCATAAATTTGAGTCCAGCATAGGCAATTTAGCATGATACTGTCTCAAAACAAAAAAAAAAAAAAAAAAAAAAAAATTCTTAAGGCCAGGCATGGTGGCGCACACCTGTTATCTCAGTGCTTGGGAAACTGAGGCAGGAGGAACACCATGAGTTCAAGGCCAGCCTGGATCCATGATGTGTTCAAAACCAACCTGAACTGCACAGCAAAACCCTGTCTCAAAAAAAAAAATCTTAAAACAAGATACCACCAGCATGCACTTACAGCCTCTCCAGGGGTCACAGCTTCAAGGAGTTCTAATTGCAGAGACTAAGGGAAGTGGCCAGAGAAGGCAGCGCCTCACTTGGTGCAAGCTTGCAAAATTAAGGAGGAAACAATTCCTCTTTCATTTCCAGGCAAAAGTTGTCCTGGAAAACAAACTTGGTGCATTCAAACCCTGAAGGATTATTGTCCTCAATTCCACTTACCTCTAAAACTGTTTAGGGGCAAGTCTGTCCCATAAAAAACTTCCTTTGCGGCAGTTAACAAGCACTGTGTGTGAGCACCAGGGAAAGTCTGTGACTGCAGGACAGAAATGCAATTTTTAAAATTTAACTGTATTGTTTTTCAGGAAGCCAAATCTACAGGCTTAGAGAGGACTTGCTTTTTAAGAAAACTGAACACTGTACTGTTTTTCTATTACATTTATGTTTGTATATCTATCTGTTCACATTGTACTTAATATTATAGAATGTCATGTGGGTGTACCACCTTAGTCCTATGAAGATGGGACTGGAATATTTTTGCTAAGAATCTTAGGATCTTTAAGTTGGCCTCTGGCAACTAGATCTCGCTCCTATTTATGCTCCTCTGTTCTTCTCCTTAAAATATCTGCTAAGGGTTCCTGAGCCCTGGCACGCAGGTCTAGCGTGCCTGCTGAGCCGGGGGAGAGTCTCCAGGACTTTGGGCTGGCAGGCTGGTCCTTGGTAGTGATCTGGGTGTCTGGCCGTGGGAAACTCACGCAGACCAGCTCTGGATTCAACCGCTAACGTCCACTGGGGACCCTGAAGCCCTCTGGCAAAGTGTGAGAGCCGAGAGGAGAAAATCACCCCCACGCATCTGAGGAGAGGACGTGTACCCCGGTGACTGGCACAGCCACGCGCCTCCTTTTTATGTCGTTGATCCCAAGAGAAATTTAAAAGAAATTTAGGTTAGGAACCTTAGGAAGCTTGGGAAAGAGGATAAGGATAAAAGACTAACATTCAAAGCACCTAATACTGTTAGCCAGTGTGCAAGGAAGTTTGTTTTCCTTATTGCATAATATCTCTATAAAACTATTTCAGTTATAAATCAAGTCAGTTAGGTATTTGATACAGCACGGCCACGTTTGGCTTCCAGGTGTGACATCTCAGGTGCCCTCTGGGTTTGGGAAAGCCAGCTCCCTAACATCTCAGCATGACAGGATCCCTCTGTGCTGCTGCTGAGGAGGGGCAGACCTGCCCAGAGCCCTCACTCCTCAGTGAGGAGTGGCAAATAGCGGAGCGGACACCTGAGACATCTGCCATTGCCACATCCATGAACAAATGTTTAAACCTTTCCAGTTTGTTTGCGAAGGTTCAAAATCCATTTTACAACATTTCCAGAGCTAAGAAAACTAATCAAAAGGTCACAAAGCTTGCTTCATCTCTATATACTTACAGAAGTTTAACAGTGAACGAAGAAACAAAAGGAAATATGGAGAGAGCACAGGTGAACAAGATTAATACAAAGCGCATCCCTTTCATTCATTAATGTATTCAGTAACCCATTACCTGAACTGGCTCTATGCAAGATTCTATGCTAGCACAAAATCAAGTGATTTTTGCAATGTGCATAGTTTTCAATCTAGAGTGACAAATTAAAAATCCCATTATGAGACATTTACAGGGAATGGACTACAAAAGGATAGAGAAAGGCACTTTAATTAAAATCTCTTGAGAAGACTTTCAGAAAGAAATGAGGTTGTCACTGAATTTTGAGCGACTGCAGGGCATTGTCTCAATGGAGAACAAAAGAGCACATCAAGGAGAAAAATTCACATCTAATACATCGTAAGGCAAGATGCACTCAGGAAGTGTTTAAGGCCAGGGTCTCCAAGTAATGCAACAGCAGCCAGCAGTGGGAAACCAGAAACCAGATAAAAATTACTTTTGCATTTCTAGACACATGGTTAGCAATCAAGTAGTCTAAAAAGGCAATGGTCAACCAAAAGAACCCTGCGGACACTGAGTTAGTACAAGGAAAGCGCAAGAACAGCAGGTTACAGGGTTAGCCGGCTGAGTACGAAGGCTAGCTTCCGAGTGCAGTGTGGGAGGGCGCAGAGCTGTGCGTGTGTGGGGAGCAAGCTGGACAGCTTCCCAAGATTAACACCACAGGCCAGGGGCCCAGAAAAGCCAACCAGGTCCACACTGCGCTGCACTCATTCAGACAACTGAAGTGGCTTCTGTGTGTGTAACTGTCAGACATTTAAAGAAAAAAGATAAAGTGGTTGGCTCAAGATTTCTTAAATTGGGAAAACAAAACATGCAAAGGGCTATCACAACTGAGAGATGCCTAGAACTGCCGCGGTGATGAAAGACACTGGTGTGGAGACGGGGTGGACTTTCCTTACGGCAAGGCTCTGGGAATATTAGACAGGACAGGGACAGCACTGTTTCTGACTGCAGTGAGACAGGTCCTGTCCGGAGCTCCACATGCTGTTGGACCATTCTGTGCTCTTCCCTTGGGCACACCCTTCCACACAGGAAAAACGTCCTCTGAGCCAGATAGCCATGCCTAGCAGGGCCACACATGCCCTCCTCAAACGGTTCCCAGTTCCATGGGCCCAAAATTCTCAGCAAGCAGGGCTGCCCTGCCTCCGCACACCCGCACTGCTGCCAGCACCCCAGCTCGCCTGGGCATTCCGAGCACCTCTGCTCCAGGAAGTAGTGCTACACAAGCCCCAGTGAGCTGCTGCACCCGCTCCCTCTTCCATCTCAGGAGAAAGGCCTTTGGAGGTACCAGCGAGCAACTGGATCCGATGAATGGAGCAGACGTTACAGAAATCTGAGGCGGTCTTCTTGACCAGGGACCACACAGCTCCCACGAGACACTGCTTCTTCCAGCCACCAGTTTCTGTGAGTGCTTGGGGAAGAGAAAAGCCAGGATGTGGCTCTGAGATTTCTGCCACCATGACACTGACTGGGATTCCTGTCCATCCCTGACAACAGCAGCCAGAGGCCAGTACAAACCAGGACATCTTAAATGGGAAGCCACTTCCAGGTGCTCTTGAAGGTGACAGCAGACCTTCTTCCTACCTCCCCTTGGGTCCCCTATTTTTAAATGCAGCTTTTAGTATTTGCCTTCCATAGCATTATAAGTTCTGTATAAATCAGTGGTTCAAAATCACAATGCTCATTCTATTTTGTTCATACTAGTTTCATAGAGCATTTAAAAGATAGTCAATCTTTTAGAGTAGCTATTCTCACTGCTTTCAAGTTCACTGCTTTTTAAAAACAGAAAAAAAGAAAAACTATCAATATCACAGAACAAACTGCGAAGTTGGAATGGAGGCAAAGCGTCCACAGTTTTACTTTCTTCCCTTTCTTTATACTTCAGAGTAAGCTAAGTCTGGACTGTTCAGTGAAGCATGTCAGGAGCTGGGATCTGGTCAGCTTAGCACAGGAACATCACAGTCGAGACTAACCTGGCACAAAGCTCCCAGCCGCCAGAGGCCCCAGAGCAAGGCTGAATGGCGCGGAATGAGAGCACAGGGGCGCTGTTTCCCTTAGGGAGCAGGGAGGCCACGAGAGTACCTTCTTCACACACGAGTCTTTATGGTGCTCTAGGGCTCAGGACGCCCATCACATGCGGAAACCCCTTCTGAGGACTCTTAGAGGATTGCTCCCAGCCAGGTTCTCATGTATTTGAAGAAAGTAAACATGTACGTGAATTAAAAAAGGAGGAGGTTTAGAGGCTGTGTAAAAGCAAACATCCAAAAATACGATTCCTCGGCTGACTGCACACACTACTTATTCACAGCGTACGTGGCATCCGTAGCTGCCTTTCAGGGCCTACCTGCTCAACTTCCCTGCCTTCTCAGTACCGTCTTCTGGAAAGCCAGGAACTAAGCAAGGTAGGCAGCGGGCAGAGTCTTTAGTCAGGCATGGGAACCCTAAATTCTTGTCTTTCCTTCGGCTGAAACCATGTGACGAATATTTATACTTGGTCATCATAGCTTAAGATGGACAGCAATGAGCTAGTCACACGGCGAGTAACCCTGGCTACCAGTTTATCAAACACTGTGTGCCAGAAATTCGATGCATACCATCCACAGTTCTCACAATAGCCTTGTAAGTTGGATAAT